CAGAACAAGTGGCCTTGCAGGTCCACAGAGAGATCAGCAGCGAGGCAGGAAAGCACCGAGCAGGCTCACATGGGGTTTAAAGGTACAACCAAGGCCCCAAAAAGGGTGGCCCATGAGCCTTGTCTGTCAAGATGGGGAGAAGCACACAGAAGAGAAATCGGCTACAAAGAGCCAAAAAAAGGACCCATGGAGACACTGCTGTTGAAACAACAGGGCACAGCAGTGTGCAAAAGCCTGGCTTGTTCCGCCAAGATATAGAAACAACCCAAATGTCCATCAACAGTTGAACTGATCAAGAAAATGAGGTATATATGTACAAGGAAATAGTATTCAGCCTTTAAAATGAAGGAAATCCTTCCATTTGCAACACCACAGATGGACATGGAGGATATTATGCCAAGTGAAGTAAGGCAGTCACAGAAGGACAAATACTGCATGATTCCTCTCATATCTAAAGTCCTCAAAGGTACAGAAGTAGACAGTAGAATGGTGGTTGCCAGGGGCTGAGGGGAGGGGGAAATGGGGAGCTGCTGAATAGGTGGAAAGTCTCAGTTATGCAAGACGACTAAGTTCTAGAGAACCGCTAAGAACCATAACACCCACAGTTAACAGTAAAGTACTGTGTACTTCAAAAAATGTTTAAGAAGGTAATGTCAGGTTAGGTGTTCTTACTACAAACCAAACAAAAAACAAAGGGACACAAGAAAACTTTGGGGAGGTGATGAGTTCATTACCTGAATCGTAGTGACAGTAACATGAGTGTATGCATATGTCCAAACTCACCAAACTGTATACATGATGTGCAGTTTGTTTGTTTTTTTTTGTTTACCAGTTATACCTCAATAAAGCTGGGAAGAAAAAAAAAAAAGAAGTCCTAACCATTTCAATGATGAGACGAATGCAGAACCACTTATAAAAAGGTGAGCGTCGGAAGCCAGGAGTTCCAGTTGAGTTAGAGGATTAGCTAGTAAGTAGGAGCAAGATCACCCTGCCAGAGGGACACACAACACAAGAGCAGAGAGGTTTGTGTGGGCATACAGCGAGGTGTGGCATAGACCCTCTTCTTTTATCAACTTTCTCAAATGCGCAGGATTAAGTGTAGAGAGTAACATAATAAACATCCATGAATACACCCTTCAGGCTTCCCCAACATTATCATCCCCACTTCCTTCTTCTTCGTATTATTTGCTCGTTTTTTCAATTGCGTTGTCTTTTTCCTAATTGATTTGAAAGAGTTCCTTCTACAGACAGAATGCTAATCCCTTACAGTAAATGCATCTCAGATATTTATTCTAGGTAGTAATTTGCTTTAAACTTTATATAGTGTCTCTGCTCTTAAAGAAGTTGCTAATATTGGTGTTTAATTAATCAGTCTTTTCTGTGGCGGTGTGTGTGTCTTACCTTGTCCTACCTCAAGGGCATACAGAAAATCTCTTCTATACATTTTAATACCTTTCCCTTCATTGTCGTTAATTCTGTTGGCATCTACTTGTGTGTATGATGTGAGGTAGGGATCTCATTTTATCTTTTCCCATGTGGACAACCAGTTGCCCTACATCACTTCCCACCTGATCAATAACATATCTCTGCCACCTCCTGGGTTCCTGTGCATGTGAGAGTTTGTTATCAGGCTCACTATCCTGTCCCATCCTCCCTACACAAATATCACACAATCTTAACCATAACGTTCCATCAAGAATCTCACCACCTCACCCTTATGCCAGCTTCCCCTAACATTCCAGCATTGTGTTTTCTTTTTTTTTTTAAAGATTTTATTTATTTATTCATTAGAGACAGAGAGAGAGAGGCAGAGGGAGAAGCAGGCTTCCCGCGGAGCAGGGAGCCCGATGCGGGACTCGATCCCAGGACCCTGAGATCATGACCTGAGCCGAAGGCAGACGCTTAACCATCTGAGCCACCCAGGCGCCCCAGCATTGTGTTTTCTTTTAAGGTCTAGTAGCTGGGAATTTCACTGCCTTCTTTGGAGCTTATACTTTAGAATCATTCTTGGTCAGATTTGCATAGCACTTGTACGTGCAAGAGCATGCAGACATCATGGCAGGGAACCATTTTCACAAACGCAACATCTTCTAACTTCACAGATTTTCTGAGACTTCCCATGATTTAAACATAGCTTATTAATTCTCCCACCATTTCTTCAGGAAATCACTAGTTGAGTTTATATACAGTTGGCCCTTGAACAACATGGGTTTGAACTGTGTGGGTCCACTTATATGTGGATTTTTTTTAAATAAATACACTACAGTACTGTAAATGTAGTTTCTCTTCCTTATGATATTCTTAAAAACATTTTCTTTTATCTAGCTTATTATAATACAATATATAGCACATATAACATAAAAATATGTATTAATCAAATGTGTATGTTATCAGTAAGGCTTCCAGTCAACAGTGGGTGATTAGTAGTTAAGTTTCTAGGGAGTCAAAAGTTATACGCAGATTTTCATCTGTGCGAATGTCGGTACCCCTAACCTCCCATTATTCAAGGGTCCACTGTGATTACAAGTCACACATCCTGTAGGGTTGATATCATAGGACAGTGAAGCCAAGGATTTCATTCTCCCGGGGGGGAAAAATAGAACACAGCCCCAAACTTTTACAGTAAGTGGAAGCATATTCACCAAGCTATTCTGTGAGGAGATGCCAGGCACAAACTCTGGGTATTAGTATTCTGATGTTACAGAAGGGTTCATTTGCAGTAGAAAAAAATAAATAAACGTGGGTCTCTTCTCTCTGCAGCTCTCCTCACAGAGATTCATTCTAGCATAATTGACATTTAAAAATATCCATCTCATTGCCACTTTTCTCTCACAGAAGAAATATGCTTTTCTGCAGGGAAGCTGTAGAGAATTGTGATGAGCATATTCACTTAAATGGCAGTCCCATTACACCGCAGATGGGTGAGTGCAATTGAAAGAGAGCGAGACGGCCTGTCTATTGCAGCTGATTTTGATACTCTAATAGGATTTCAGGATACATAAAGATCCCACTAGGTCTTTTTTGGGCTCAGGAGAAAAAAATACCTTATATCTTAGAGGCACACATAGAATTACCCTGCGGCTCCATCAGAAGACAATGACAACCCCAATTTCATTCAGATAAACTTCAAGAAGCCAATTTCACGGCGGACAGTTCCTCGAGGACTGACGGACCGCACTGGCTCTTTGACCTGGGCTCCCAGAAGAACAGAATTTCACTGCAGTTTATGAGACCCCTTCCCCATAAGAACCTCTCTCTTTACAAGCTATCCTTGCTGCCAGTTACACACGAAATCTCCTCCCTTCCCAGACTCCCCCAAAACTCTTCAGCATTGTCACAGCTGAGGGCAGGTGACGCACCTCCTATATTTGAGGCTGACAAATGTTTACGAGTCTAAAATCAAAAGGCCTCGGGATGGAAAAGGCCTCGCTGAGAGCACAGAAGTAAATTCATAAACTTTAAAGACCAACAACTGAGGTCAAGTTCAGAAAAATGCTCATTTATTCTTATGCCCAAACGTATTACAAGTCAAGCAGTTCCTCTGACATTTCACCCTCTGCTTCCTTGGATAGGGGTCAATTGTTCTAACTCTTAAATGTCTTATGAATGTGCCCCCCTCCCGACCCCCAAAGCCACCGCAGAATCCATCCAGGACATCTATGACAAAAACACCCCCCAATACGATGGGAGGTGAATTCTACCCGTGCACAACACAGGGCTCATGGGTGACTACCTACGCCAAGGACAGAGGCTGCATTAGAAATTGAAATAAACGCAGCTGCCTTGACTTACAAAAGAAGGCTCTTTCAGTAACCCTAAACAGCAGTCCCTGCGTCCTTCTACCATCCCAGAGGCAAGACAGTGGTTTGAGATCCAGGTCTTGATGCTCCAGTGTCCCAACCCTGCCCCTGCTGGTCTTCATCTTTATCCTCAGAATTGGCACAGAGCTTCCCCACTGGGATACCCCAAATCTTCCTCTCCTTTGGAAGTCCCCAAGCCACTACACTCCCCTGTATATGACGCTCTGGATTGCTGACCACGGGGCTGCCCTATCCAAGCCCAGCAGTGCTCCCTCCCATGGATGCATAAAAACCCACAGAATCCATCAGAAGCTCAGATCGGCTCTGGCATCAAGACACAGAGACCACTCCTGGCTCGGCTTCCTCACCTCCAACAACAGTCTTCTCTCCACGCTGCTCTCCAAACATACCCCATCTCCTACACCAGTGTCCCCACAACGGAGCCACTGGGGAATCTTTGGTCCAGGAGAAAGAGCACCTACGCATCTTCAGTCAGAACATATCTCCCACAAGTGTCCCATGTACCAGGCACTCAGGGGGCACGTGGGCTACAAAGACCTGTGCAAATCTGCTGCTGTAGGTCCTACCGACAAGAGCAAACCAAGTGGGCCAGTGGGATCAGGACAACCTAGCTTCACCCGCTGGGCAACATCAACATGGGCCGTCCCTCATCCCTGAGCAGCTTAGAAGGGCTCTTTCTGATCCAAGTTAGATTCTTCCTCTCAGTGTCCTGATATTTCACGGGGATGCATTTCTAGTTAGACTCGCAACGTTGCCCGAGTTTGACAGTGAAAGGTTGTACATAGTGTTTATCTAGCTATTTTTGATATAAATTGGAATCGAGGTAGGAGGTACACAAAGAAGTGCCAGAAGCACTAGTATAGTGAGGAGGGGACTCGGCAGGGGGGTGTTGCTGTTGTTTTGGGGGTGGCGGGAAGAAGGGTCCATTCCAGACAACATTAGTGCCCCGCAGAGAGCCCAGTGCCCAAGGGCTCCTTGGTTGTGAATCAAGCCCCAGCCTCACACTCCCTGTGCACAGACTACCACTGAATCACACATTCACAGCTTCCCAGGAAATAAAGAACTGTGGCAAATGCCCAGTTCCACCTGAAATGTAGCATCCCTCGAGTAAAACAATTCCATTTCACACATGTCCGAAGCAAAACCTCACTCCATGCAAGGCGACCTCATATTTCTTACCGAAAACAAGTGGTTTGGTAATGGCCCCCAAAACCTTCTGGTGACGAAATCTTTCTGGAATAAAACAGAAGGAAATAGAGGAAGTTACTTGGGTTTCCGAAAAGACACGGGTGTTCATACAGAGCCCTTGCAAGCATAGACATTTGAATGAGTGAGAGGTTTTGAATTACCTGTAAAAGTGACCCGATTATAATTCTAATGAGATGATCACAAATTACCAGAAACAAATAATTAAAATGTTTCGTTAGCCATTCCTCACATAATTATTGCCTTAAGAACGTCGTGTCGGGCAAATAAAGCAATGGTTTGTGTATCACTCTGGAAGGAGAGACTATCCGCATTTTAATGAAGCGCCTCACAGCCCTCATGAATATGTATTTCCCCACAACAAAGCTTGACCCCACGAGTGTGCAGAGCCGGTATTCTGGGACACTTTCAGAGGGAGGTGGGTGTGCCTATGGGAGCTGGAGGGGGGTGAAGAGAGATTAAAGCAAAGAGAAAGAAAAGCTGGCCACCGTGCATTTCCTCTGCCCAAGTCCACAGCCCTCACCCTTCCTCCTGGGCAAGGGGGGGTTCACAAAGAGAACAGAAAAGAGGCCATCAGGTTTCACACTCCTCTTGGACAGCGAAAGCTTTGCAGATGAAAGCTCAAGACGAAGTCTGATATATTCTATGTTCCATGGCTCAAGGTGAGGCCCTGGGTTGGATCAGGAATTCAAGGTGGGGGCAGCAGATGGTCAGAGAGCGGGAAGCCTGGGGTGGTGCAAGAGGAGGGGGATTTCTTGGTCTGAAACATCACATCCGAATTCCTGTTTTAATATAAATATTATCTTCCAATATAAAACAGTATGTTAACTATACTGGAATTTAAATTAAAAAAAAAAATGCTCTTCTCCCTCCAATTTGGCTAAAGACACAAGGCATTATAAAGGAATGTCTTTGTTTCTTTTAAAACCACACCAATGGCAGCCTCCTCCCTGGGGCCTCATCGGCTGGGAACAGAAGGTCTAAGAGCATTTCATGAATAGCCGTGCTGGCTGGACAGTTCACCTTCAGTCTGGTCCCAGGGTCTGAAGTCACAGGGATGACATCATTCTTCGGGGAAGGTAATAGGGTCTTGGCTCTTGGCACAGGCAGACAAAGGCTTCTACTTTATCACAAAAGTCTAACCTGGACCCAGTGTTGACTTTCTTTTAATGAGAGTCACTCTCATTTCCCTAGACAGACATTTCTAACCGTGGGTTTTAATCAGGGAATTTGGGGGAGTTCCCTGCCACCCCAAACTGGCCCACTGCAGAAGCCTCTAGTCCAGACATTTAAAAAAAGGATTGGCTCTCCCTTAGAAGGCTGAAGATGCTTTCATTCTGACCAAGCCGTTTGTATATCTGTAATCTGCTTGCCTCTGCTCAGGGGGAACTCAGCATCCACACAGTTGTCCAATTTCTTCCAAAGGTATGGTGCTTCTCTTGCCTTTCCAATGCCTTTACACCATCGGCCCATTTCATCACATGTAAAGCATGGACAGTAAGATCAATCTCAGAGGTGGCTGGGAAGGTGAATGCCATAAATACCCCAAAACACTGCCTGGGAACCCATTAGCATCAAACAGTATTTCCTTCTTTACCCCCAAGCTCCACCATCCCAGGACCTCCAAAAAGAAGTGATGTCAGGGTTGGTACACACACTAAATGCTGCGTCCAGAGGCAAGAACATCTTCCCTAGTGGTCCTAAGACAGGGCCTCAATTCCTTACTCTGTTACAAGTTGGCTCTATGAACTCAAGCAGGTCAGTGAGAAAGACCTCTGTCCTCTTCCAGAATCCCCTACTCCAGCTCTGGGCAATTTTGACCAAGAGGACTGCAGGGAAAAGCCCAGAAGCCCTGGACTACCAACACAGGCTAGAATTCTCCCCACATGTCCCCCACGTTCTCACCTCCCCTTCTCAGGTCCACAGCCACCTGCATTGCCCAGAGCCACGGTGGGCCTATGGAAATGACCACATGCCCACCCATTTCCTCCCATCCCAGAAGCACCTCGGGGAAACTCAGAGCTAGTCTGCAGGCTCAGCTGGCCTTTCTGGCCTTGGAGGTGAGGCCTGCCCCGTTGCTCTACCTGGAGGAAGGAGCCACAGTTCTTCCTCTGCCTGCCCTCAGCCTGCGAGTCTCTCAAAAGGACAAGAGTCTCATTCATCTGTAGCCTGAGCATCCCCCAGAAGCTCCACACAGATTCCCCACAAAGGCACAGAATCCTCAAGCTGCCTTGGAAAAAAGGGCAGAGCTGTGCACTTTACATAACGCTTTTCCATAGGAGGAAACAGGCCCACATCTTAACTCAATTTAGAATCGGTTTTTAAGCGTCTATTTATAGGCATCACACAAGTACCCCTTGTGGATGGTGGAGGAATCAGGGCTCTGGGCTCTGGTCCACCACTACTCATTAGCATTCTTTTCATGTTTGTCTTCTCTAATTTCCCCAGCAGCATTTTAACTCAATAGCAAGGTCACCTACCACTTGGACCCAGCACCACTTTCCATTTCCTCCAAAGAAAAATATGAATTTTCTTGGCCATGCAGCAGTGCCCTCTCCCCGCCCTCTCGGGGTCCCTCGCTTGTGTTGGCAAAAGCAGGGTTGTGTTATTCTTAGTGAACTGTGTTTCCGGACAGACGGTTCACCTTCAAAAAACCAACAAAGTCATGAGCACAGAGCCCTGGGAAGGCCCTTGGGGGTCAGCTGGTCCCTGCTGGCCCTGAGTCCCCCACCTGGCCAGAGATACCCAGGGAGAGCCTGCTCCCGTTCCAGCAGCCAGATGAACACAGAAAATCACCGACACTTCAGAACAACCCAGTCTTCTCTTCACGGCCGTGTACGGCCTGGCCGTTCCTACTTCTACCAAACACACGTCCCCATCCTCTTTCTACCCTCTCTGGAGGCATCAAGGGCCGCCAGGTCCCTTCCCCTGTTTCTCTTGGCTACTAGTGATCGGGCAGAAATCCCAGAGCCTGCTCTTCTTCTGGTAATGCACAGCCATTTTTGGAATAATCTCCTCATCCTTATCAAGCCCCAGGCTGGCAATGAAGTCCACAGGTCTCCCCATAAGATGTAAACACTCCACTTTCCAAGTTGCTGGCCCACCCACAAGTTATTTGGGGGGAGTAGGAGGGTGGCTTATCCTGTATTCCAGCTTGCCAGGGGAGGCGGGAAATACAAAGCCATAGGAACCTGGGAGATTCCACGAAGGCTCCTTCTGTCCGCATGCTGATGACTGGATTCTCCGGGGTCCAGAGACCCCAGGCCCTTGGAACCAGTACAGAAGGAAAGGTGGGCCCTCGCCTAGGCCACTGAATCCACAGCAGAACTCAGGCACAGAGAACACTGCCAATAAACAGCCCTCCAGCTGCCTGACTTGAAAATACCATGTGGCTCGGCTCTCCTACAATTACTGTTGCCGAGGCAGGCGGTTGGTACTCGGTGTCAGGATTAATTAACTTTCTCACAGGATGCCCACCACAACTGCCGCTGTCGGTTCTCTGTTATTGGACATGCACATCTCTGGCAATCAACTGGAGCTCTGATCACACCGAGCCTTTGAAAGGCTCTTGGGAGGCAAACAGAAATCCGAAACATGGCTTCGAGTGGATGGTTCATAAATCTGCTGCTCACCTTTGATATTAGGCCAGGGGAGGCGGTGGGAGGCCCCAACTCCACAAGCCATCCTCGGGGCCCACTAGCGGCCCGCATGGTAGGGGAGGGGGCCCCCGAGGCAGGAAGCCCCTGAGGCGAAGAGAACTTCCACGGGCCCTGAGAGAGCAGCTCAAGCAAGCCTCCACCCAGAGCCGGAGAGACGGGCCCTGCAGCAGGGACGGTGCTGGGCCAGGGGACACGCAGGTCACAACCAGACTTTATAAGCACTTTTTCTTGGCAAAGTGAAGGCAACACTCACAGTCAGATGGGCTCCCAGGCCTGGAAGCTGCCCTGGGAGGAAGCCTGGCACAGAGGCAGACAGAGGTGGACGTGTCCAGGGCTGAGGCAGGAAGTGTGCCTGGAGGCCAGAAGGCTGATCTCACAGGCTAACCAAGTGGCCAGGGACCTGCACGGCGGAAGCACGTTTCCTGGAAGCAAATAGGCAACCCTGTGCTTTATAAGAGGCTGGGCCCTGGGCACATGGGTTTGGGGCTGTGGCTGGATCGTAGAATAAGTAGAATTTGATGAGCAATAAGGACCCAGATTCAGTGAAATGCTTGCCGATGGAAGACTCGGGCCACACTGAGCAGAGGGTCTGGGATAGGGCTGGGAAGGGTCTGCTCAGAGCACCATGGCCAGAATGATGGGGGAGAAAGGTCAGGCTGCATCAAAGGCAGGGCGCATCAGCTGCACCCTGTACCCAGCTCGGGCGTGGTTCTTTCTAGTACCAGCCCAGTGGCTGCAGCCGGCACCGAAAGCCAGGCGCTCATGGGGCTGTCAGTACGTCTGCATGATGGAGAGCTTGGAATAGGAGTTCACACTCCCGTGGCCTTCATGGGCCAGCCCAGGGGGCCATGGAGCTCATCTGCACTGCGCTGCCTCCCAGAGGGGAACAGGCAGCCAGCAGAGGTCAGCATCTGGCAGAGAAGCTGCCGCAGGAAAAGGCCTCCTGGGACCTGGTACTATAGCTCCACCAAGCTGCCCCTGGGGGATGCAGCATGAGTAGCCCAGCGTCCCCACAGGTATGGCTGGAACCGCACAGTAGGATTCTGTGGGGGTGTGGATGCTCCCCCAGGTTTACCGTGGGGCTGGGGCAGGGGTTCTGCTGTTTCCTGATGGGAAGGACTCACCGGGACAGTGCTCAGTTGGGCACAGCAGGGTCATTCCAAGGGAAAGAAAGAGGGCCCTTAGGAAACATTTCGAGTACTGGTCACAGACCAATTATAGTGGGGAAACAGGGGTTGGGCTCAGAGAGGGGCTCCAGGTCCTCAGAGCCATAGAAAGGATGCAGCCCAGGTTATGGGGGAAGGGGCCAGGGGAGCAGTGATGGGAAAGTTGGGGGATCTTCCAGCTTGAGTGGGCACCAATGGGCTG